ATCGACGAGTTGCCACATAACAAGTTTATTCATTTTGAGATGTGATGATTGACCCAACACCCAATCACAGTTCGGAGAGTTTCACTAGAGTTCAACACTTGAAAGAGGCACAGTTTTAAATAGCTTCCGATGCACAAATTAACCCTTTGTGTTCGATTGTTAAAATTATGTTCAGTGTGAATAATTATTCAAAAAGACGTTAACGTAAGGGAAATTTAAATGCTTTAAGGAGTGGAACGTGTGGCATGATGCCCTGATCTACTCGACTGCTCTTCGCGACGCACTGCGCTGGTAGGTCGTATTGCGCGTGAGGCGGCATGAAGGGGTGGCACGCCTATCACCAATTAATATTTGAAATGTCCTCGAAAGCATTAGGAGGTTGCTGCAGTTGGGAACGCTTAGAACGTGTGGCGTGAATCGACAGCAAAGGGTTTCGCAGAGTCGGCGAGCGCTCGCAGGCGAGCAAGCCCTTGCCTGAAGAGATCGGGACTGGAGCGCCCACACATCGCCCGGTGCGGCGCGATAGCGTGAGAAGGCATCGCGCAAATTCTGACCAGCGCCAAGCGGGTGAACAAAATGTATTGTAATTGGTCTGCTTTGCTGTGTAAGGCAGGAACAAATAGTTCATGTGCAACACTGGAGTGAATTACTTGGACAAATAACACTATAATAATACTTGATTTTTATCAATTTCGTTTTTAATTCATGTCAATGAATAGCTTACATTTTGAAATTATCGGCTCATCCGGAGACGCCGCTATCCGGGAGATGCGCGACCTGACATTTCGCAGGCTTTCATCAAGGGCAGTGACACTGCGGCGCTACGCGCCGCGTTGATTTAAAACAGTCCTGCCTGGCCTCCGGGAGGGCATGGTGCGCTGCGATTGGCGGAAGGTTTCCCTGATTGGCCGCGCGGTCTGGCCACCTGGGCCCTAGCGCCAGATGTCCCAGTTGGTCGGACGGAGATGAAACAGTGGCCTTCGCCAGATACGTCCCCGTACCGTCGACGGTGTTGAACATTCCCCTGCCGGTCCCGAATAGATGGAGCGAGACACACACACCACACGAGCATGGTTCTTAAGTCCTTGGGTCTGTCCGTGGGAGCTCTTCCCGACCTGGTGCATGGTTTGATTTATTTTCTATACGCCTTCTCGGTTGTCCGATGCGACGTATTTCTTTTTTTATTCGTCTTGGTATCTCGTGTGCTTTGTGCACTTTCTTTTTTTCATCACTTGCAGGTGGTCGTTACTGTTTTCACAATTCTTTTTCAAGAAAGTTCATGTCATTCCCGTTTCGGCGTTGCTAGTCGATTTTATTTTTATTTGCTTTTAACATATTTTTTTTTCAGTTTGGTTTGCATCAGTTTTCTAGGCTTACTTTCTTAATTATTACAATTGTTCTTTCTTACATCTAACCTAGGCCCTACATTTCCTTAATCTTAATATTACAAATTTGTGTTATTCTTATAGGTTTCTTTTATATATTATAGTATAGTTTCCTAGATTGACTTAATATTAGCTTATAACTTAACTAAATTAAACTTAACTTAACTTAAATCTTGATATAGGCTTAACTAATTCCTTATATTCTAATATTTACACTGTTATGTTTATTTACCATTTTGCTTCATGTGTGGGTACTGAGGCCTGTTGCTTTGGACCGGACGCACAGAAAGCGTTGTCGGTGGGCCAATCATACTCCTCTGCTGTTGGCGCCCGTTTGAAAACTCTGCAGCTGCCTGACCTTTTTGTGTGAGCTGTTTGATAAGTTGTTTTATTTTGTTGATGTGTGAGGTCTTGTGTTTGTATGCGTGAATTTCATGTATGCCCGTATTGCCCACATACCGACATATATTTACATCACACATCAGAACATATTGTTGTAAAATGTTTGGATTTTGGATCTTTAGTTTTGTCGTTTGTGTAGTTAAGTGTGTGTTTTGTTGTTGCATTCTCCTTTTTTTTTTCTTTGTTACGGCGTTTTTGAAAATATTATTCTGAGGGGGAAGATTTTCTTTATTGGGTACCGGTTTGTTTGCAGTAGTACTGCGCATACTTGAAAGAGGGTGGAGTGTTCAATTCGTGAAGATGTCGTGAATTCTTTCCGTGCGAGTATCGTGTATTTTGGTTGGTTGTTTGTGTTTCTGGGTTTTTTTGACTTTCATTTCAGGACTGAGCTGGGTGTGGACGGAAGGCTATTTTAATGAAGTAAGTTGTTCTGCGGCGCGTGAGTAGTGAAGACTATCTCAGCAGCGTCGCCCATGCCGCGCATGGCGTAGAGCCCCGCCCTCGAATGCATTGCGATTAGAGTGGACTTTTAATTTTGTCCTTCAAGCGCTCGGCTTTTTGAAAATGGGGAGAAGAGAGAAATGCGTCGTATCATGTTGCTCGGAGCGGAAGATGTGTGTTTCCAGATCATCTCTTTGTCAAAAGTCACTCGAGGTATTTATTTGTCTCCCACGGGAATAGTGTGACCATTTAGGCGATGGGCGCACATGGGCGTTTGCGGGAGAACTTCATGTGTGAAGAGATGGCTGGGCATTTCTGCGCGTTCAGCGTGAGGCCGTTTTCCGCCTCCAGTTCCTAGCTCATCAGCGGCCCTGTAGTCTTTTGCCGCAAGTTTAATTGCAGAATCCTTACCCAAATGCTATGTCTCCGCGTAGACGAAATCCTCACTCCGGCCGTAGTGGTATGCATTTAAAAATAGGGAGAAGAGAAAAGGGCATAGCACAGCGCCCTGAGGACGCCGGCGAGAATTGTCGAGGAGTGATGTGTGAGTTGCAGCGAACAGTAAACTTGCCTGTAAGTTAAGTCATAGCTGAGTGAGTAGGTTGAGAATTAAAATTGCCGTACATAGCGCCAATTTTATGTAGAGCTAGTGACATGATGGACAGTGGTTCGAAACGCATAGGAATAGTCGAGAAAAGAGCTGGGATAGAGCAGTGCGCCTATAATGTAAAAGATATGTGAAGTGAAGCGTTTAAACTTGAAGGGCAAGAGCGATTTCCAAAAACCAAACGCTTCCTCGTATTATGCCGCGCTTCCTCAGGGGGTCCTTGCGGCATTCTATTTGCGAAATATTTCT